CAAATTCATTGTAACTGTCACGACGGAGGAAGGATCGTGCATCGAACAAAATTGGCGCGCGCGTTTGGAAGTGAAGGGGGCTTGCTTTATTTTTAAAAACGGCCACGTGTGACACACGTGACTGTCAAAATAATATCTCATACCAGTATGAGCGTACGAGACGGGCACTTTCCAAATGCTGACGTGGCTGAACACGTTCGCGAGGAACTTGCCGAAGGCAAGCGGCACGATCAGCCGCAGATAGTACCCCCAGGGGATGTCACTGGAATACTTTCTCACGCCCCACAGGTTAAAGAACGGGCCTGAATAAACGGTGATCGATGTTAACTGGACCATGGTCACTGTCATCGGGTAAGGAAATTCCGACAGCAGCATCTTGCCGATGACGTTACTGCTGCTCGAGATTCCGTACCAGAGCAGACAGAGGAACAATATGGTGACCACTTCGCGGCTGTTCCGCCGATCGTCCATGATTACGCGAACGAACACCTTTTAGACGATGCTTTCCCGGTGCCCTCACTCCATACGTTCACGCAGCCAGTTGACACGATACTCCCGACTAATTGCTATTTGCGGCCACTGCCACGGATGGAATTTAAGCACAGCTGGCATTTCTCTCTCCCTCTCTCAGTGGGCCTTCCCTCTCTCTGTTTGCGCAATGTCGCGGAAACACGTGGCGCACACTTCGAACGGTGATTGAACACATTTGACAGACGTTCGGCGTCGCTCGATCGAGCTGCGCAGCTTCCTCGGACATCGAGTTGGTAAACCGAGCCATCTTGCAAAATAAATTACCAATGATAGTGAATTTATAAATCGCAAGTTGTAGCTCGTGAAACGTTTCATTTACCAATGAATTGGTAATATATATATTTGTAAAATAATATATGTACTATATTATATTTATATAACACTTATACTGTTTACTATTAGTGAATATGTTTTATTTTCCTACCTGAGAGATTATTACTCGAAAGATTATTATTGAAAATGCGACTTTTCATTTTTTGTAATTTTTCAAAATTATGAATTTCGAAAGCAATTCTTTTTGGATCTTTGACTGCTATTTTTCTTGGATTTCGATCTTTCAGTTTCATGTGCCTGAATCGATTCATTGAATATGACGTAATATAGTCGATAAAATAGTAAAATTGATCATCAGTAGTACCAACAGTTGAAGCACATAACCCCTAAAGATCAGCAAATGAATTATTTAATAACTTTAATAATTATTTAATAATCTATAAATATAGAGAAATAACGTAGAATATAATAATATAGAATATCCCAAAGGGATATTCTATGAATAAAGAAAGAAATTCGTTATCTATAAACGTTGAGAAGAAACACGCGTTCGATTGTAACAATTTCGACTTTTCGAAATTTATTTGTCACCTTACCAGTCTCTTTATGCTTTCGTATCAAGTTAATTAGCTTTTATATTTATATAGAATTATTTATTCCCTCTAAGGAATTCGATGTTTATCAATTAACGTATACTCTTTGTTTCAAGAAGAATCGTAAAACAAAAAGTTACTATTTCTCCTGGTTCCAAAAATCAAACGTACTTTTTACGAAATAGATGGCAATACATCTCAATAGAGGGATGTCCCGTTTTGTTTAAAGGGAATCTCAAATGTATATTTTATTGTAAACTGCCGTTCGAATAATTTTATTTAATGAAAACTAATCGGAACAGACTAACTCGTATGAAGAACCAACTGAAGTAACTGAATATGTTAAGTAGTATTTTATTGTTTATGTGTACGCAGGTTATGTCTAGCAAGTTTCGTGATCTAAATATCAATTTCGTAATAATTATCTAATTTCGTTGAAAATACCGCCGACAGTATTGCATCCAAATGGATCCCCCGCTCACGTCGATTTTAAAAAAACGCCGTCTGCAACGCATTGGCGGTAAACCTATAATAGAATGTAGGCGGGAATTCACCTTGCCACACAAATTTCCGAGTATGATCAACACGCCTAAATGTAATTCGGTGTTCGAGAAGTTCACTACATCCAACACGGGTGTGCAGAGCAGTTTAAATGGATTGAAGAGCAAGAAGATACTGGCTACTAATAGAATAACGAAATTAAGAATAAAAACAAAAGATGGCATCGATTTGGGAGAAGTTAAGGTACAGCTGTTGACTAGTGATCAGCAGAATTTATTGAACGTCCCACAGATTGTCAAAGTCCAACAAACTTTAAATTGCATGAAGAATAGCGTTGCTGGTGTTTCTACTTCCTCACCAAGTAATACTGTGAAAATAGTAAAACCAGTAGGATCTCAATTATGTAGAGAAACGCAGAAATATATTAGAGAATCACATTGCCCCGCAAAGCGACAATTTATCGTTTCTCCTAGTAAAATGTCTATAGCTCAAAATAAAAATATGAATGTGATTCAGAAGCATCATGTTTTAACCAAAGTAAATAAGACTCAAAGTAATAGTTCACTAAATGACAATGACTATAGATTATTGCATAATGTTGCAACTGTCTCGAAAAAAAATATGAAACTAGAAAAGACTTTAGTTTTGATAAATAAACAAGAAATTAGAGATGAACATATTTCCAAAAATAATGAAAAATGTATAGGAAATAAGAATAATGATACTTTAAAAAAGACAAAGATAACAGATGTTAAAAGCTCAATGATCAAGTTAGCAGAATCAAAGTTTCCAATAGTGAGATGCGAGAGGTTACAGATTCATCCAACTAAAGTTAATATTAATAAAATGAAAAGGCAAGAAAAAGAAAATAACGTTCTGTCTCATGAAAACATAAGAAAAAGAAAACGTTTCTTTTTGAAAAATGATGAATGGAATCATTCTGCAAAAAGGATTGAAAATGCATCAAATATTAATTCACTTAGTCTGGAAAATAGTGAAAATCAAAAGCATACAAGTATTTTAAAGCCAACAAGATTTGATAATGTAAATGATTTTGATAATGATGATGTAATTGTATGCGAAAAAAATGAAATTGTGAGTCAACATTGCAATAATGTTCAAGAGGAAAAATGTACCATGGTACCTGTGAGTAACAAAAATGTTGATAATGAAACTCAAAATGTATTTGTTAAGGTAAATACAAAGCCAAATTTTGATAGAAATGAGATAATTTGTAAAACTAATCTACTAAATGAAAACCCTGAATTTGATATAAATCATAAAGGGGAAAAAGATATTGAGAAAAAAGAAAAATTATCAGAATGTTTAAATGTAATTAAAGAAGCACTGACCAGCGTAAAAGATGAACAACTACGAATTAAAGCTTTGCACGCCCTTGCAGAATGTGGAGTAGGTATAGCAAAACAAGTCCCAATTATTCCACCTGAAAGATTAAGAACAGTTCATGATTCTCAGATTCAAACTGATGTATTTGGACTTCTTGATAGGCAAAGTTTTGTACTAGTGAAAGAAACTATGTCTACCATAGAAAGAATAAAGCAAATAGAACGTTCAATTGTTAATCCTTGCCCTGTCACGAAAGAAATACAAACTCAAACAGAGATGCAAATACAGACTGAATCTAAATTACATAATAGTATCTACAATACGGATTTATTCTCTATATTGGAAGGCCCCCATATGGAGGTTCCTATACAAGATACATTAGACATTGATAATTATTTTAATGAATTTTTCAATGACAATAACAACATTAATAAAGTGCAAAAAATATTATCAACACCACATTCCTTATGTAAAAAAGTTGCTACACAATTAAAAAAAGACTATGACGAATTGCAATATTGTGATGATCATGGAATGTTAAATATACATCGAGCAGTGGTGAATAATAATCTGCATGAGGTGCAAAAGCTATTGTTAATTTTAAGAGCTTCAAAAACTAGTATTGATGTATTAACAGAAGATGGAATGGTAAATTCATATCTCATTAACATAATTAAAAAAATAAAAATGAATACATGTGTATATATATCTTTTTAGACAAGTTTAGAATTAGCAGTTCAGCATAATGCATCCGAAAGTATAGTGAATTTACTACTAGAAACTGGGGCAAAACCAATTTCATCGGAACTTATTTGTGACTCTGCAGTACTTTTAGCCAGCAAACAGTCATCACCACTTTTACCATTACTTTTAAATTATGTTACAGAGCCTCAGCTACTAAACCGAGAGGATTCATTAGGTAAGCACTTAAAAATGAAATGTATAAAACTTAAATTTTTAATTATTTGTTTTTTAAGGATTAGCTCCGTTGCATTATTGTGCACTAAATGGCTTCTTAGATGGAGTTATTGCTTTGATAAAAGTGGGAGCAGACATAAATCTGAAGGATTATCGTTCAGGAAGAACGCCATTCTTTCACGCTCTTGAAAATAATTACGTGTTAGTTGCACAAAAATTGTTAGAATGTGGTGCAATCGCGAATTTACCGAACTTTTCTGGGCAATCTGTTTTAAGTTTAATAGACGAAACAAACAATTTTTCATTCAAGGCGTTACTTAAATAAGGCGTTACTTAAATATTAATTTAGTTCTACCTTTAAATTAATAAATTATTAATAGATATCAATGATTAACGAAACATCACAACTAAAGTTTTTCTACATATTTAATTAACTTTATTGTGCAATTTATTTAAATACTGGTAGCAGTACTACTACACTAATTGATTGAGATTTTGTTTGATTAAGTAATCACTGTTATTTCCTATAAGGAATAACCAAATGTGTCTGACTCGAATTTATATTTAAGATTTTGTAAAAATATTTTACTGACCAAATAAAGTCTCGATCTTATGGACAGTTAGTAATTTATTATTATTTTACTAGATGTACCTTGAATTGGTTTACTAGATGTACCTTTAATTGTCATAAAAATAGGATTTTCGATAAATTCTATTTTTTTTTTCTATTTTTTGGTTTTATTATGTTGGACTTTGATGCTTTTTAAAATAACTTGTACTTTTCTCTAGTTGATACAATGATACTAAGAAGTTACTCTTTATATTGACATAATATTACACAATTATAATTTTATAAAAACATTACTGCCAATAGTTACTTATTGTAACCATTTATTGAATTGTTCTTCATATATCAAGAATAAAATTCAGTAACTAAATGGTATAAATATGTATTACAATCATTTATTAAATCATATATATATATATTATAATTTATATTATTAATAATAATCACATATTAATAATAGTAATATTATAATAACCAATTATTAAATTGTTCTTCATATAACAAGAATAAAATAAATTCAATAAATAAATAAGTATATATTTATAAAACTAATTGTAAATATTTATTGTAACACATCTAATGTTAATCACATGCAAGAAATGCAAATTAAAATATAGCATATGTATTGATAATACTTCATACAAGCAATATATCATATGCAGTATATTTCTTTGTGTTCACATTTTTCTCGCTACATCTAAGAATATTTAAATAAATTGCTTTAATCATTGGAGTAACGAAATACATGTAGATACCAACATGTAAATATTGACTTTTCAAATAAATTCATCAGGATAATTGTCAAATTAAAAATCCCTAGATGGGATATAGTTTGCGATGCAGTACATGTAGGTACGATGATCGATAAATGATAAAGTCACCGTACTACAAATATAACGAATAACTATATACTTTATTATTATTTTTTGTAATAACTATTATTTAACAATATTTAAATGAACAATAAAAATTATAATTAATTAATTATTTATACACTTTTAATTGATTATTTAATAATAACTAGAGTGTAGACTATGAACTTTAGACTCTAAACTTTAGATTGTATACTTTTGACTGTCGATATTCTTTAACAACTACTATTTATATCCTCGATAATTTGTTGTGTTTCCTTGACAATTATTAAACAGCTCCTTAGTAATTTTGTTAGAATATTGATCTTTTTACATGATTTCTTGTTTTCGAGTTTCGCAAAGTTGAAGCCGCAAATTTATCTGAAATGAACTCTTCGACAAGACGATTGAGAAATAGATGTCGCTGGAATAGACGTTATTACATGCATGTAGGTACGATGGTCGGTAATACTAACAATTCACCGTACTACAAAAGGAAATATGCAATCCGCACTAATTCGGGAAAGAATAAGCGAAAGGCGATTGCTTTACTAATACTTTTATTATAACGATTAACAAGACAATTGATCGAGATTACGATTCACACACGAGACGATGCGCCGAAGTACTTTTATCTCCAATGGACTCTTCGCACTTTTTTTGAGACAGATGGCGCTGGGGTAGCTGTCGCTACATGCACTTTCACAGCAGCGCGATCTACAGAAAAGCTGTTTTTAAATTTCGGCTGGCGCGTCTAAGGCATTTCGTAGTCTATGACTGATTATATACCTGTTACAAGATGTCTTTCTAAAAAGAGTGATTATTATTTTGTAAAGGTTAAAGTTGACTAACATTTTCTCAACGGAATCTGACTGCCCTGTTTCGTTCTTATGGATCTGGAAAACAGACGGAAAAGCTGTGACAAGAGGTCAGTTTCTTCTTGATCCTCACTAGGACTAATAAAACGTATTTGTTACAAAACAAACAAATATGTTCTGTATGCAGTATTTCTTTTGGAATAATAATTATTATTATAATCTATAATTATCTAATAATTAAAGTAAAAATGGAATATTTCAAATGCTTCAGTGTTTGATCATGTGTTGTTATTTTGGTCATATAACATTATTGTAGAAAAGCTCGTAATACTGATTGTAGAAAGTTGTAATTTATTTAAAATAGTTTCGACACAGACGATGATTCTGATTATGCTATGATAAAACGGATTAAGATGGAACCAGAAGCAATATTGTCACAAGAGAATGATATAATGGCTCAGTTACAACAAGAAAGCTCAGACTTAGAGGTAGAGCCAAGTTTCACATTGGAAGGATCAGCAAATGGCGAGGATTGCAATGAAGGTGTTTTAATGCAACATATGGATATCAGAGAACCTCTCTCTACCTTGAGAAATCTATTGGAACAAAGACTCGGAGTAGAGTTGACAGATTATTCGTTTTGGTTGCAAGATGCACAGATGGTAAGCGATGCAATTAAGCGATACAATAGATTTCATAAACCTACTTATGCTTGTACGCTTATATTATCTTTTTTTTTTCTTAGTTAGAAAGTCACAAAAACTTGGTTGATCAGTGCGTGCAAGGAGAAGGATTGGTTCAAGTAAATGTTCAGATAAAAGCAACGCAGAGGAGAATAAATATAGTGGATGTTTTGAAACCTGCAGAGGATTATATAGAATTAACAGAAAATAATGGTATGTAGAGAAAATATGAATTATTATTAGTGAGTTCTTTTAATGTGTATATATTTTTCGCTATTTAGCAACGACACCAGTTAATGAAGATAGCAAGCGAAATGTCATAAGATGGATGGTTGATCCCCAATATAAGAAAGAACAGGTATAATTTGTTGAAAATTAAGCATCAGATAAAGTTCACTTCATATATAGTAATTGTACACTTGTATATATTATACAGGAACGGTTAAAAATTCCAGCCGATCCAAAAGAATGGACACAAACACATGTCAAACATTGGCTTCAGTGGGCAGTTAGGCAGTTCAATTTGGCTTCGGTGAGATTAGCAGATTGGAACATCACTGGTCAACAATTGTGTAATCTCACGCTGGAAGAATTCCAGGCTAAAGTGCCTCTAGATCCAGGAGAAGTGTTTTGGACCCATTTAGAGTTACTTCGAAAGTGTAAATTTGTCGGTCCGTATATTTGTCGAAAAAAAAAAATGAAAAAAAAATACTATAAAATCGTGATTGAATATTTGATTAATTCTGTAATTTACAGCTGTTGTTCAAAAGGATCCCCCAGTGTCACCTATGGAAAATAACGTGGATAGAACTATAAAAGTTCGTAACCAAAAAGCGACGAAGACACGACCGGTGGTGAATCAACAAGCGCGAGTAGTTAGCGTTCCTTTAGAAAACATCGACTCCACGCCGATCAGTATAGCAACCTCAAGTCGTTCGGTTAACAGCGGTCAAATACAGTTGTGGCAATTCCTGTTGGAATTGCTGACAGACCGGGAACACAGAGGCGCCATTCAATGGGTCGGGACAGAAGGGGAGTTCAAACTGAATCAACCAGAAGCGGTGGCGCAACTTTGGGGAGCCCGTAAAAACAAACCGTCGATGAATTATGAGAAACTGAGCCGCGCATTGCGTTATTACTATGACGGAGATATGATCTCCAAGGTACATGGGAAACGTTTCGTATACAAATTCGTATGCGATTTAAAGCAGGTTTTAGGTTATTCGGCAGCAGAGCTGAGCAGATTGGTGGAAGAGGGCACAAGATATTTCTGATGACATACTATTTTTTTACGATCATAATGAATTTTATCATCGTATTCTCAACGTGATTTGTATCAATCATTGTACATATTCAATGGAAGATAAAAGAAAATGAACAGATTATTGTTCAGACAATCGAATTGTACATCGAAATACAGAGGAAAATCAATGCATAAACGTTTATTTTTCTTTCTGTCGCAATTAAATACACCCTTACTGTAATATGCCGTTCGTGATATTTATTAAGAGAAGCAGTAAAAGTTATAATCTGTGAAACTGCGTAACTCCTATATGCGCGATACTTAAAATCCACAAGAAATGAAATGCATCTAAACATCTTAACGTGAATATATAACCATATCTTTTTAAAAATACGTAACAAAATACTACTCTGGTACTAAAATTAAATTATAGTATTAAAGCATTATATATTCACAGCGGAACTCCATTAATTTTTCAAGATGCACCCCCACCCACGCAATGGTGGATTATAGACCTTTGAATGTCGAGCCTCTTTAACTTGCCCGCTTACAGAGCGTCGACGTTTCCGGCCGTTTTCTATCTCTGATGACTAGGACTGACTTTTGATCGGCAAAAGGCAGCACTCATCGCCAATACCAGAGAATCTAGCCTGTGAGATATCGGTCGCGACGTCACAAGTTAGGGTCTCAGGGGACCGGCGACGCGGCAGGCTTTACAATCAGCCCGCCCGCCATTGCCCTTTTTCTCATTTCATTTTCTCTCCCTTTTTTACTCGCTATTTAATCTCACACACATCCACGCATTTATGTTTTCACCGTTCAAGAGGAGCCACCACCTTCTATATTTTTTTTCTTTTTTAATAATCTCCTCGTTTCGTAGTTACGTTATAGATAGATACTAAAATAATAACTTAGAATAATGTCTAAACGGGTATGATGAGTGCATCATCACTTATGGTGGTAGATCATCTTCGTTCTTCTTTGAGAATACCCTGTCTGCACACACGCGATTACCAATATACGTACGCTTGAGGTAAAATTATTACTTTCCTTTTCTTTTTCAGTAACGGTAGTTTTAACGATCTCTTGAAGTTGTTGCTGGATGATGAAACGTTGCGGCGTCGACGACCGGGAAAGTTAGCAAGTTGTACAGTGGACTTCGTATATCGCGAATTTCCATTCCCTACTATACAACCTACTACCTCACCCAGGCGTCGTCGCTGAAGCGGCGACTCCTGTCCTCTTCGTGATCGTCCCCTTCGTGGACATTCATGTACAAAGTATAACAATGCACAGTAACATAGAGAGTTTATTGAGAAAATAATTATATAAAGTATTAGCAATTAGCCAGTCGATCTGCATCGGCGAACTGCACGTTTCGTCTAATCTCAGAGCCCAAGGGTGCCGAAATTAGTTTTCGCCGAAGGTAGTATCCAATGTTTCAAAATTTACGGCGCTTCGATCTTACAGAGACATTGTTCGTAAATTGTTCGTAATTAATTAATAACCAGTAAGTGAACCGGACAGATATCGGTCCTTTCATCCATAATTTCACTCATCTCTCTCACTCTACGGTTTTGTACCACGGCCGAGAAGAAAAATTGTTTGGTGAAAGAATGTACGCGTTGATAGCCGGAAGTGCTGCGGGCATTCAGGAAGGCAGAGGGGTGTGTGAAGGAGAAGGAGTAGGTTCCGTCGAAAAGCTTAAATGCTGGCCTGACTACATGTACCGGTAGATAGGAGCTTGCGGTATACATATAAAAAAGCCCACAAGTTCGGATCTACGGGTTAGTATCATCAAGTATAGCTGATAACGGCTATCGCTGGATCGTTCCACGCTGCGGCTTTCCAGTTCCCTTTCTCTGCTTCCTATTGTCCGCTCGGGTGCAACTACGTCTGAAAATTAATGAAATTACATTTAGTCACATACAACGTGATAAACATGGCCGCTATGTGCGCTACAACCGTCTCATCGATCTTTCTTCAATAAGGCTGGCTGACCAAATGGAAGAAACGAATGACAAGAATAACGGGGCACGTTAACGAAGTTAAGCCGACGAGTTAACAGTTGAAATCGCTGCTCCTTCAATAGACTCGACAATCTCTCTGATCCTCCTAGACAGTGAACGAACAAATCCAGCAAATCGTCGAACGTTAACAAACCTACGGAACGTCAAGCATGTTCTAAAGTTATTATCCAGAGGCGCATTATCCCTTATATGAAAAACTCGGACGAAGGGCCTCAGGATCAGGCTTCTCACGCGTGGGCCTGTAGCTTACCACGCCGTTGCCGGGAGTAGAGAGAGAGAGATCAGGAGGGCATAGAAAAAGAGGGCCGGGACTATCCTACAAGAAACAAGACGAAGAAGAGGATGAAGAAGATGGAGAGAGGAAAGAAGAGCAAGAAGAATACGGGAGAGTAGGTAGAGAATCCGGGCGTTGTAAAAATCCCCCTGCCTGCTTCGCTCGTAGACAGTTGAATGGCCTCTGCAGTTCTCCTCACGCGGCCCTAAGGGATGTTAGGCACCGTTTCCAACTGACCGACTACGCTTTGCGATCTGCACCTGAAATTATGCACGACAGATTAAAAAAATATTCGCGGGCCAACCCGCACTGGTTCACAGTGTTCTACTTCAAAGAGGACACTTGTGTCCTACTATTCGAGCAATCTGATTTTCAATCTAATCGACTTGACAATACGTGGGCGAGTAATGTTAATTTTACCTTGGACATTGTTTACAGACAAATTCACCGCGAATTTGAATTGTAAATTTCCAAGCTCCGCGCGTTTCCCTTAATGGGGGAGAGATTATTGGGGGGAAGTTGAGGCTCGTTGTGGACGGAGTCTTAAAGTCTGGAAGACCGGCGGTGGACCTGGATGCAGGAGTAGTCGTGCGGGAATTATGTACGCTACACGAAAAGCTGCACTCCTCTCTCGATTCCCATCGGCAATCGTCTCATCCTCCGTCTCTCCTCCTACCATAAAGAGAAACAAAAAAAAGAGAGAGAGAGAGAGAGAAAACTTTTAGTAACTACTAGTCGATCGTCATCTTTTTCGAAAGAAAAAGCGGCGAGCTATCAAGAGAAACAGAATCTCTACTCCAAAGATTTTCAACTCGAATCACTTCTCGAAGAATCACCGTGAATCGGTAAAGACGGGATCTGTCCCAAGATCTGCCGTGAGAAACGCGAATCGCATTATCCCGGTCTGGCACCGATCGATTTTTTTTAATCAAAAAATTCCGAAACGGAACTCGCGAGATTCGCTCGAGTATATGAAAACTCGGAATGCCCGCGAGCATGTCTACCAATCATTGACAGTTGGCACGACTGGAACAACCGTAAAAAGTAACAGGGAAGATAAGAGGATCAGAGGCCTCTCTTCTCGTTCTCGGTTTTTCTTCCTTGAGCAACGAAGAATAGAAAGCTCTAGGGGCAAAAGACCAGCGACGAAGGAAGGGCTGGAAACGCGGGGGCAGGGAGGAGAGAGAGAAGAGGAGAAAAGAGAAAAGAAAGGAAGTTAAGCGAAGTGGAGAGAAAGGAAGAGAGAAGGCAATACATACGTACGAAGAAACGGAGTGGAATGGTCCCGGGAACGAGGAGAGACGCGGGGGCAGAGACGTAATCACAGGGGCGTTGAATTAGGGAAGCATCGAAGGGGGGAATCGAAGGGAAAGGGTGAGAGGGAAGGAGGGGGGGGAGAGAGTCGACGTTGGAGGACCGGGGTCACCGCCATATTATATTTAGCGAGACACAGCGCCGTGTGAATGAACTGCATATCCGAAACGTGCTTTGCCCACCGATATAATTATTGAAATAATTCTTCTAAATCGACAATCTAATTCCCCTATCGGCGCTACTGCCCTATGAAATTCCATGCCACAACTGCCGGGAGTTCGCTCGCGACTTTGTACGTGGGCGCTCTTTACAATCAAGCACGTAGTTGACACGGTATTTCTTTTTTTTTTTTTT